GGAGAGGCACTGGGATACAGTCAACAGCAGCAGATTACCTTGATCTCGTGTCATGCAAGGGGACGGGTAAGTACAGGACCTAACCCCAATTAAGGTGGCGGGGGGGGGGGGGGGGGGTCACCGAGTGTTTCAGGCCCAGCTCTCAAGTGGCTGAGCCACACACTGCTCCCAGGAAGGCAAAAGGTCTCGCCTGCTCCCATTCAGCTGTTATGAAAAACTAGTCGCTCTATTTTACTCTGCTCTGTTCTCTAACTAATGATCATGGCGGGGGGGCCTGGAGACTGTTACAGGCAGCACACGGCTGAGGACACCCTGGATGGGATGCCAGTCCACTGCAGGGCACATGCACAATATGGGCAATTTAGAGACACCAGTTCCTTTAAGCGCTGGAGGACCTTTTGGCCTGCAGGAGGAAACAGGAGTAAGTAGGGGAACCCATCCCAGCACGGGAGAAACTCTACACACACGGAGCGGAGGCGGGATTCGAATCCCCTGCTGGAGTGGCGAGAGTGCTGCCCACTGGGGCGCCCAATCGCAGGCATTTCCCACAGTAATTAAAAGGCAGCCGCTGTGAGCAATGAGGTCACTTCCCTTGCAGCACCACCCAGGGTCGCCAGGGTAACGGAAGCCCTGAATCAGAGGGTTTAATGACGCACTGACGTGGAAATTTTGGCAAATAATCGATATAGTTTTCTCTAACAATAACCTCTGAGCTCCACAAATTTGTAGCGAAACTGACATTGATGTCATTACTTATGGCACTTTTCCACTGCCAGCAAGAACCGAGCTGTACCAGAGCTGTACCGCAAAGTGGTGCTTTTCCACTGCCACCAAGAACCGAGCTGTACCCAAGCTGAACTGCAAACTGGCGCTTTTCCACTGCCACCAAGAACCGAGCCGTACCGGAGCTATACCACAAACTAGCACTTTTCCATTGTAAAGTATGTGACCCGCACCCGAGCCGTAATCGCACTAACACGGCCATGCTTACTAGCAGAGCTGTAGGCATGACCAAATTGAGCTGGTTGCATCACCATCATCTGATTGCTCGAAATGCACGGCAATACCAGTGTTCTGCGCAAGGATTATCTGCTCTTAGAACCCTGCATTGGCATCCGGTTAGGTTCAGCGCTGACTTCAAAGTTCTCCTACTACTACATATAAAGCACTTAAAGGTCTAGCACCTGCCTACCTAACAGAATTACAGTCTCAACTATATCTTAACGTATAACACACCATAACTATGGCTGCTGGTGCTGCTGTACACGCCATTTTTATCCGCTATGCTTGTCCATTAATGTGTCTGTGCATGTTCTGACCCTCCATGCTCTCTGCCGTCCTTCCCACATGTCCGGATGGTGCCTGGGGTGGGCACCATCTGAGCTGGAGTCTTGGTTCAGTCCCATGGAAGGGTGACACTGTGGATGTGACTTACGAACTATATCATCGTGGGTGCAGCCTTCGATCTGACACCCATCACAGGTTGGCATGAAGAACTGATTCAATGATGGACTTTGGCTTTGACCTTGACCATGCATTTGCGCTGCTATGAAAACAAAATACAGTATAATGTATTTTAATCTTTATATGCTAACTCGACTTCATTTGCGGTATACGGGTTAAAGTGCAAGGTATTTTCATGTCAGCGCAAGTGCACATAAAATAAGTACGCATTTGCGCTTTTACAAACAATCGATTGTCGCACATATCGTTCTTAAAGGTGAATGCGTACTTGCGTACCAGTTATGTGCAGCCCTGTATATATTATGCATTATTATTAGTATCGCACATCGCAATATATTGATGCATTCCTGATAACGCGGTGATTCTCACAGACATGCTAGCAGAAATTAGCGCACAGTAAAAAAAAACGAATTTGTACATAGTTAATCATAATGTAATCACAGTAAATCATAAATTATAGTGTTTTAAATCACTCTCGCGTTCCAATCCCCGCCTTTACTGAGCCTACCCTTCTGCAGTGGAAAACCAAAGCGAGCCGGAACTGTGCTTTAACTAGTCTCTCTTTTTGCTAGGGCTCAGGTACGGGTCGGTTCCTGTACGCCAGTGGAAAAGTGCCTTTATTAAGATCCTGTGAATGCATGCAGCAACCACATCATATAATGCAGGCAGGAAGACATCAGCAAAATAGCACCGACTTGAGAGACTGTAACAAGGTTCTAAGAAGTGAATGAGGCGACAAAATCCCTCGTCCTCCACAACGAAAAATGGCTGATGATCCAATGCGATCATCTCCAGTATTTTAGTAGTTATGTCTTTAGCTGTGTACTCTGCTAGCTTTTGATATTGAATAAAGTCTCAATATCAGCCAGTAATATTGACCAAGACTGACACGTCAGTTGATGGCTTGATTTTTAAGGAACACTGACCTATACCGTTATGTTAACCATTTACTGACTTAGCGGGCGCTTTTGTCCAAAGCGATGTACAGTTGAGTTACCCAAAGTATCATGCATCTCTAATAGGACTGGCAACAAAACCAACATGAAGGCAACAGTTGTTAATGCAGGCAGATCAGCTGTGTTCATCGTACCTGGCACCTGCCATGTCTTCCTGTGGGGGGCGTCAGAGACCATGAAGACTGTGACAGCATTTTATCATGCAGTCATACGCCAGTCATAATAATAACACAATCATCCAGAAACACATGCATATTTATATGGCACTTTGAAATATGTCAGTCCCTCTAATATGAGCATCCTCAGATTACCGCAAGGAGGGAGCAAAAATGTGGACTTTCTGCCAGGGAGCTGAGAGGGAGCAAAAACGTGGATCGTCTGTGGGTCCCCGAAGACCGGGTTGGAAAACACTAGTGCAGAGTCACTGCCGGAGCCACAGAGCAAGGCAAACCCAGCACTCAGCTACGTGAAGTGCTTACAGCTAACCCTTTAAGAGGAGAGACATATGAGCACAACCAAAGATGCTTTTGTTCAAAGCGACACACGGCTGAGAAACCAGGGTCAGCAATTGTGGCAGGACAAGGGTCTTACTCAAAAGTGAAATCACTATACTAGGATTTGAACCTGGTACCTTCCAATCAAAACAGTACAGCAAAAGTTCCGGAAGCAATTTTTATAGTTTTCATTTAGTTATAGTTTTTGATTTCATTTTTGTATCTTACCTTATTTAAGTTTCCATTATACTTTTAGTTTGCATTTACGATAATAACCCTGGCTCAGAGGGCCCCACTAGGGTCAAGCCCTCCTGAAGCCCAACCCCCCCCAGGTGTCCATCCAGCACACGCTCACTCTGATTGGTGCGTCTGGCCGACGGAAGCGAGCCTACCTTTCTCGCTGTAGGACTCGCTCTCGAACTCGATGTCGTCGCAGCTGGTGTACTCGGGGGTGGTGGCCAGCTCGTCCTCCGAGCTGCTGAAGGACGTTTGCCTCATCCTGCCCCCCCTCCTGCCCCTGTGCGGGCGGGGCGGAGGGGGACGTACCGACTCAGACTGGTCCGAGCTGAGGGAGTCGTTGCGCGGCACACCATCGGGGTGGTCAGCCCGGGGTCGCCGCAGGGCCGTACCGGGGTCCAGGTGATGCCGGCGGTCAGGGGGGTGTGGCGAGGGGGGGCTGCGTTCCGATGTTCTCTCGGCAGAGCGACGCCGCACCAGGGGCTCGTCCAGCTCGGTGTAGGCTAGCGACACGTCACTATGGCGACGCTCGTGCCGCGCCCGCGACACCTCGGCCTGCATGCGCATCTGCTCCTCGTACGGCTGTGGCTTCACTGGGTAGCGCGCCAAGTTGGGGTCGCTACGGTAACGTGCCTGGTACTCCTCCTGGCGCCGCCGCTGTACCTCGTAGTCGCTCTGTGGCCCACCTAACTCCTCGTCCAGGGGGGAATCCTGTGAGTGCCAGCGCCCCCAGCGGTCCTGGTACTCCCTGCGCCCCCTGTCCACGTCCTCGTACACCCGAGAACCCCGGTAGGGACCCCGACCCCCGTAGTCGGACGGTGACCTGGGCCGCCCCCCTTCCCCTGGGGCATACTGCAAGGTATCTGCCCTCCCCTCCCTTTGGTCGTATTTTTGGTTTGGGTCCCTGGATGCTGACGGGCTTCTGTTCCTGTCAATCAAAGAGAGACGGCCAGTGAGGAGAGGGAGTGGGCTGATATCTGTTACCTCACAGTAAACAAACAGCCATTCCTGGTACGTTAACAGTTAAATACATCTCTGAGTAGTTGCTGTGCTCTCTGACACTAATGTCATCTAACCCACAGTACCGACATCACATCTAGCCATGTGGCCATAGTGTCATTACACATGTAAGAAAACCGCACTTGGGCTCGGCGCCCCCTGTTGGCCTTTTATAGAGGTACAGCACAGGTTCAGCATCCAGATTGCAACCTGAGTCAGCACGATATCTAGCACAGCGGAGACAGCAAAGTAGCCTGGCTCTGGGCCCTGGTGACTGGCAGGTGTCCCACACAGACCTGGGTGACAGTGACACAGTTCACAGCCTCCGTGGAGGATGAAGGATGTGTACGTAACAGCCATATGCTCTATGCTCTCTGGCGCTATACAGCAGCCTTGGCAGGGCTAAAGAAAAAATGACACCGTGCAGATTATAAGATTTAAAGCACAATTAATGCTCTTTGTGTTTGACCTGCGATTCGCGGACGATCAAGGTACCAGCCTGCATGCATTTTAACTAAGGGAATTTAAAAAGATGGTTCTCGTGAAGATAAGGTCTGTCTCAAACTGCGTAATCCGGGTTGTGCCTCATCACATCTTCAATTATTCATCAAAGTCTAACATTAGCTCACATTTTCACCCTAAAAAGGTACTGCATTCTTCATCCGGCACATTCCAAGAATATCCAAGGTGGCCATCCTTTACGTCCCCCCTGCTGCCGGACCACAGCATGATCCGGGTCACGGGTCTGAACCTGCAAGCCTCAGCTGCCATCGCATCTCCTGCCCAAGTGGGACTTAGCGAGTAACATTTACATTTTGAACTTAGCTTAGCGCTTTCTGTCGACTCCTTGTTAGGATACATCAGTAATTAGTCCCAGGCACGTAACCCGACCACCATCATTTACTGCCCACATTTACCTTCTGCCTGGCAAATGGGTAGATTTTTGATTTAAAGTGACTAGACTCTGTGAATCTGTGAGACTCTGAGAGTACAGGCACTTCCGCCTGTCCACGAGGCAGAAAGGACACCAGCATCTCCGAGGTGGATGTGTCCATGACGATGTGTCCCCCTCTCCGCGGGACGCTGTATAGTTACCCCCCTGCAGCCTCTGACCTCCCCCCCACCACCCTCTCCCTCCCTTTCTCCCCTCTGCTCCCCTTATGTACTCACACTCTCTCCCGCTGTCCCTATTTCCCTCTTAACCAGGCTCTGACCTGCTAAATACATCGTTTCGGATGAAACAGAAAAACACCGGAAAACTGAAAAACAAAAGCTCTGTTTGCCTGTGCCCCATGGCCCTGCAGCATCCCTGAGCTACAGCTAGGGGGCGACCTGCCCCACAAAAAGACCTTCGACGTGTCGTTACACACGTTTCTCTGCACGTAGCGGTGGCTTCAAACGCGATTTTCAGAGATTAGCGCAGGAGCTCGTATGCTAAGCGTGCCCTAAGCTCGCCTGAACCAGCCTTCAGCACAGAGGAGCACAGCGCTCCCTGCAGGCCGAGATGTACCTGTACACCAGCCACTGCACTTCCGGGGATCGCTGGGCATCTTGTGCAGGCCGACGCATCGAATCTCAGAGGCGGCCGATGCCGCATCCAGCGCCTGGGGAGAGTCACGTCCACAGCAGTGTGAGCCGGACGGGCCAGCAGGTCGAGCTCTAACTGGCATGGCACCGGGCCGGCTGCCACGGAGATCCTCCAAAACAGGGTGAGCCGCCTCAAAGCATGCTGGGAGCTCAGAGCAGGGTCACACCATAATGCAGTTACCATGGGCCGTATTTAGCTGGAGGTCAGGCGAGACTTTAGGCTGCAAGGAGGATTATGGGACTTAGCTGATTAGCGACTGGCTGCCAGTTACCAGGTGGCAAATGCAGCAGCAGCACTGGGACACTAAAGGCTCGTTATCCCTCGTCCTGCCGTCGCCACGTCTAACTGACCCACGAACACAAAGAGCACAACCAAGAAGCCGACACTGTCCTGTAGCACCTCCGCATCCTGGAACCTCCGATAAGAAAGGAACAGAACTGGTGCCAAGCGGACGGCGCCAGCGAGATCTCCACCTGGGCGCTTGAGGGTGAGGCATTTATGCCAGCCCAGATTAGCACAGAAAAGGGAGAAAGTCGTTGATTAAATGTGATTAAGAAGGGATGGCTCCATTCCAGAAGGGGGTGCTCACAGCTCTCTGCCCGACACGAAGGGCCAATCAGGGAGCGGGACTTTACGGGAAAAAGAAGTCAGAAGTCTGCCCAATAGAGGACACATGTCTGTCATTGGTTGACTAGAGTAGAGGGTGGGGGGAGCTTAGAGACACATATGGTCAGTGGCACAGCAGGGATTTGCCCAGAAGAGAAAGCTCCACCCAGAGCAGCCGAGTGATTGTCAGATCCCTTCCAGAAAAATCCATCAAATCCAATCTGTTTGGCTGCTAATTCAGCTCTCTCTCTCTCTCTCTCTCTCTCTCTCTCTCTCTCTCTCTCTTTCCCTGTATATTTTAGCTTGATAAAGGGATTTCACATTTTTCCCCCTTGTTGTGAAGTAGCCTCATTGTGCTGAAGGTTAATAGTTATAATCTGAGGATGGGACCTGAAGACAGGCCACAGCAGAGCAGTGATCTCACTAGTCAGACACACGCAGGCGCACAGGGGACAGCCCCAGAGTTCAGCCGCAGGACCCCAGGCATTGGTCCAAAGAGCATTCCAGATGGAAGCCACAGGAGACACTGCAATACCGTATGTTTCAAGCAGCATCATCCACCACTAAGCACATCGCCACCTGCAGGCTGGCCCCTGCAATTACATTTTTATAATTCTCCAGAGCCAAGAATGATCAGAATGGGGTACAATTTTTGCTTTTGTCAGAAGACAAACTGAGCGCTTACAACTGAGAACAAGCATGGTGTTGCAGATTTCCAGTGTTTATTTGAACTATCAAATCAACTGGATGACAAGTTGATTTGCCTGTTGAATCAGCAGAACCAGTTACAATGATATGATTCACTGACAAGACAGATAAAGCCTACCAGCCATCCATCATCCAGCTGCTTATGCAATACAGGGTGGTAGAAAAGACAGAAAAATAATGATCTAATAATGATATTTCACTTGTATGGGGAGACCGTCCCAAGTGGCAACCATCCCCCCTCAGTGACACATTGGCACCCCCCAGCTGTCAGGCGGCCTCAGATTCCTCCCACACATCAGCTGTATCTCCCTGCTCACGGAGCCAGCACCCCCCCATACACAGCACCTCCATAAACGGCTGGCTCATCTTCACATGCTAATATGTAAGGTGTGAGAGGCTGCAGATGACACTCCAGGCGCCTCCTGCTCGGAGCCTTGGAGGCGCATGGAGGAGATCGTGGTTTAAAACGCCACGATTATTCCAGCTTATATGCTCACGCCGCCGTACACAATCTATGTGAAACACCACAGCCCCACGAACCTGGACGTAGAAATAGTGATTGTTATTTATCATACATATAATAATAAGGCATTAAGCAGATCCCATCGCCAGAGAACAACCAGGACAGAAATAGGAAACCAGAGTAGAGCAGCAATGCTTTATTAATCCCCCTGTGGAAATTCTCGTTTCCCAGTCTTGTTCTCCAGGTGACACATATATGCAAGGGCAGCAGACTTAGGGTCACAGTGAAGGTCCAGCCACTTTGTGACTTCCAGGGAGCTGGGGGTTAAGAGCCTTGTTCATGGGCCCACGGACACGAGACCGCTGCCAAGGCAGGGCTGGAACGGGCGGCCGTGAGCACAGGCTCCGAGGCTTAGCCTGCTGACCGGCCCCAACACATGACAACTTATTTAATACAATTTAGGGTCACCAGTGTATGTGACTGCAGGAGGAGACCCACATGCGCAGGGAGGTCGTGTGATCTACACCCTCACACTCTGTTCAGTAGACCCACTTTAAAACCTGCATTTACTCACTAATTTACAATTTTGAATGCTGGCTAGCAAACTCAGCTATTCACTGATGACTTGCTTCACTGATGATAAATATACATCAGAGCTTCCCCCCTCGCATGTGATCCCATACTGTTTGCTGGGTTGAAGCTGCATCATCTGGCCAAGATGACAGTCATACACCTATCCGCCTTGTCATTTAGCGTCACGATGCTGGCTGATGGAATTCACCTGAGCGTTCACCAGCTCTGAGGCTGATCATCGAGAAGATTCACACTGAGCAATAATGACACAGCCATCCAGAGGCTGGTCTAGAGACCATCGAGAAGAACCACCCAAGGCATCGATCGAAGGAGTCACATGTTTTGAAGTTTCACCATGAGGAGACCCTAGACACAAACCTGAACAACTAAAGCACCCATTCCGGGCCCTCGCCCCCCCTGCAGCTTCTTACCTCTCAAGGGGAGATTCATCCAGACCAGTGTGTCTCAGCACAGAACCATTTTTGAGGGATTCCTGCCGGTGCGGCCCGGACGGCCGGCCTCTGTCCGGCGCCGACCCGTCTCCTGGCTGGCCCTGCAGCTTGGCCTTCTTCTGCTGTGGCACCTCCTCGAGCCGTTGTCCCCGGGACCCCTCAGTGCAGCCCGGGAACTGAGCCCCACTGGAAACCCTGCTGTAGAACCAGGCCCCCGACTTGGTGAGGATTTCCTGCTGCTTTCGGCACAAGTTGCACACCCACATCACCTGCATACAAAGGGGTGAGTTTAGCCTCCAAAATGGACAACTTGCTTGCATCGTGTAATCATTCACTGCAGTCATGCAAATATATTTAGAATAAAACATCAAGACTCTACAACCAGGAAAACAGATTAGGGACTATATCTTATCCCAGCATCCCCCAAGGGCCTGCCTGCCTCTATTATACCGTATGTGTGTTTAGGGAATCTGAAGGGCTGTCGAGTTTGAAACCAGAGCAGGTGGTGGCTTTCACAGCAAACAGGATGTTACCTAACCAGTGTACAAGTCAGTGCTGAGGCCTGCAGACAGAAGAAGTCCTGGCTGTGATACTGTGATACTCCCAACAATACTTCAAACCACGATGCTCCTAACGATACTGCAAACCACGGTACTTGTAACAATGCTTCAAATCATAATACTCCCAACAATATTCCAAACCACGATCCTCCTAAAAATACTTCAAACCACAATAGTCCCACCAATACTCCAGACCACGTTACTCAAAATAACCCTCCAAACCACAACAATCCCAGGGATACTCTAAACTATAATACTCCCTACAATACTAAAATAACGATACTCCAAATGATAGACTTGAACCACAACATTCTAAATGCGCTTCAGCCTACCAGACTCTACGGGTGTCAGTATTCAGCATTTTTATACATGGAAATGGCAGCTGTGGACACTGAGCACATCCACAAAGCAACGATGTCAGTCGAAGGAGAACAAGGTGAGTGATAACAGACAGTACGACAGGCCACACTCAGGCGTGCAGCCAGAAATAAGCACATGTTGAATTCACGACTGCCCAGTATCGTGAGAATCGGCATTAACACACAAGGTCACAGCCCTTGGGCAAAGAGCCAGAACAGAATGGACAGCAAACTGATGGCTTTCTGACAGGGTGTGGACACTGTGACAGATTGCCACCTTTCTCCGCCTTTGGGGACAGTCAACCCATTAAACCCACAATAAGGCGGGAACAGAATCGCCGGGCAGAAATCAACCCTTCCCTTCTCCAACACCTCAACAAGTAGAGCTCAGCTGGTCCAAGTGCATCTGTGCTCCTGGGACTATGACCGCGAAGGACCTTCTCCCGGGTTTGCAAGCCGACAGCAGAACTTCGTCAAGTCAGGACCCTCATGAAGCAGCCAGAGTGCACCCAGGAGACGACAGCCTCATTCTCTCATGCACACAGCGCTTGGGCCAGATAACAGGCCGAACAAATAAGGGAATAATTCACAGGCATTGGGCTTTAGTAATAACCACTTTTCACCAATTAAATGCGTCCATCTCAACTCAACAATAAAGTGAGAAACTCACTCTGGGCTGGATGATGAACAAAAACCAGGTGGCATGGAATGTAAATTAGGGACTACATGGGTTTAACAAACACAGGGTGGAGGCAAAAATAAAACTGGTGCAAGCATCTGATCACCGAAAGAGTAGAACGGAGGCCGAGGCCAGACTTGAAGGCCTGGGCAGGTTTAGGGGCGGAGTGTGGCTCAGCGAGTCAGGCTGCCATGCCTGTGATCAGAAAGTCATTGGTCCAAATCCCAGAGTCAGCAGAGTGGTTTTACTGATGAGCCCTTGAGCAAAACCCTTAATCCTGAATTGCTCCACGGACTGGCTGAGCCTGCCTTCCCAAAATGTATTTCGCCTTGGATAAAAGCATCTGCTAAATATTTTAAATCTTCTGGGGCAAGTGAAAGGAGGGAAGGTCTCATATAAGGACCAAGAATACCCCCCCCCCCCCAACCCCCGCCTCAAAAAATAATAATTTCAAAATAATCATTCTACTATTAGCCGAACGTGCAGCAGCAGAGAACACTGTGGTTTTCATTTGGGCTTCAGGACCAGGATGAAGGTGCCCAGCTAGATGCCTGAAGAGCAGGACCCATCAGCCAGGTGCGTACGGTATCACCCCCGCGGTGTCACGGCGGGCGGGCTGGCCATGTTCACGCCGTCTCACCCGCTCCACACGTGGTCCATGAAAATTTAATGAGCTGCTAATTTTAGAGGAGAGCAGCTGAATGGACCACAGACACCTCCGGGTTTAAGATCCATGTTCGAAGACATCCATAATTAAGAAGTTAATGCTTATACCCAAGTAGGTACGCACCCCATCCGAGCCTTTACAGAGGTCACTGGTAAATGCCCTGTTAAATGAACTGTTAAAGAACGAATCCACTCATTGTTCATGAATATAAATCAACATCATTATCAGATTGCTCAATTTGCAGTTATAATTGTACTTAAAATAACATATTTTCCATTTATACAATCATACATTCATTTTATTAAAGATACATTTCGAAGCTGTGATTGCAAATAGAAGCTTTATCAAATTAAACTGTGAAGGTGGTTGTTTACGTGTAAACGCAGTGTTCTCGCCTGAAATGGCCAGTTGTATTTTCATATCTAATTTTGATTTAACCCGAATGTGGAAATAAAAAAAGCAGAAACTCATTATTGTATTATATTCTAAAAGGATTATATTCAGGTTGAAGTCAAGGCACCGGGTAGGTTACACTGAGTCTGCAAATGCGTGCATTTCATGAAAAAAACGCTTCATTTTTACTTATGTGATCGCTCTTAAATTTCCCTTTTCCGACGCGTCAACAAATTATATTTGTTTGATCACTTATTCGGCCGTCGGAACAATACAAATACATACAATAGTACGATCGTGTCCAATAATATATGCATCAAACTGCAAATTATTCTTATACTACTAAATAGGCTACACAACGTTTTATTTGAAGACAATAATAAAGAGAACGAATGAAATAGCCTAAGCCAGAAAAAGCGAAATAATTTACGCAACAAAAATCAGTATTGTAATCGGATAAAACATTCTGCATGGATGTCTCTATAGGATACATATTTAGCATTAAAGACCAGTTTAAAACACGATACATGCACGATGACACGTTCTCACTGCATCTCCTTACATGATGTCGGCGGCTCCATGCTGCCTCCCCCGGGAGGGACCCCCGAGCTTCACCGCGGGCTAGGAGACGCTCAGTACCGCGGACAGCTCCAGGCGCTTCTCACGGCTCTCAAAGCACAGTCACTCCGGCTCAAAGGAGGTCTGTATCACCCCTGACTACAATTCAGGCTCATAAGCAACTAAAACCGAAACTTTAACACTAGAAAATAATCCAGATGAAGGCACCTTGCAAGACTTTACGCATTGTTGCCTACTGATAAGCAATATATTGTAAGCAAGAGGGACTGTAGTAATGTTTTCTCTATTCGTATATTACTAGTTATGTCCTCATCTATAATAGATGGAGGCGTTACTAGTCTGCCACTGAAGCCAAGTGCAGCTCATTAAGATTGCAGAGCGTCCCTCGCAATGCCAAGCGATCCAGGTCCCCCAACAAAACGCCTGTGGACAGCGAGGTTTCCGCTCCACATCCACGCGTAGAAGATGGAAGAAACACGGCCCATCAGAGCTGGGGGGTGGGGGGACGCGTGGACGTCTCGCTTCCACATTTCCACAGCGTTTATTGTGTTTCTGTTCCAGTTCCTTTTTGTCTTTGTTAGATTCGTTTGATTTTTGTGCAGAAATATGGTCAACCTGTTTTTAACGTGCACTGTAATCAAATTTTATTGATTGTAAACCATTCACTACGCCCAGAGAGAGAGAGAGAAAGAGGGGTGGGGGGGTGCCATCTATTTCTAAGCTATAGCAGCGATTCTCTGAACCACACACGCAAGTTTGTCTTTCGTTTTCTAGGATTTCACCCTTATGGGGACTCAGATCCTAAGAAATACAGGACGAAATCGCTAAATTGATTTAGAATAATAATTTTTCATTGCGGGCTGAGACAAAAATAGGGTCTGGGGTCTAAAATCACCTATATTGCACATGACATAAAATTGAAAATGAAAGCTAGCGAGTCTAGATGAAATGAGTCCGGGATGTAAGTTCTGGATGATGCAGCCTGACGCAGGGTGACCGCAGCACCTTCTCGTTTCTCAGGCCTGGAATCACAGAGCTGCCCCCTTTCCCTAATCCCTGATCAAACAACCTGCTTCTTTTACTGTATATATAGGCTGATCATAATTCTTCCATGTAAGTCGGACTGGCACACTGATAACCGCTAACCACAGATAATCTACCCGTTTGACAGACGCAAACAGCGCTAATGCAGCTGTCCAGACAGACAGTTATATTGCGCGGTGAGACAGGATGTTGCTCTCAACTATAATCAAGCGCAGAATCCTGAGGAAGCTTAACTGGATAATTCAATAAATTATCTTCTACATTTCCACCTAATACGCGTTGTTTCTGACCATACATGAAGGTACCAGGATTCCTGCACAACACAAATTAAAATTCACTCATTTGAATCCTGCATTCCTACAGTATGCGCAATATTCAGTGACTGACACTAAGGACTGAAATATTTATGGCAGTTCAAAGAACACGATCTGTCTCTAAGCACCGGATGGACAGAAAGCACTGCTTTACCAAGTGTGAAACGGGCCAGAACCGAACGGCGCTCCTTTCGAGAGGGAGCGACACCAACTGTGTTCATTTATAGATGTGCGTTAGTCTGGATTTCCAGATTTTCCCCCGAAGACAATTAACACGCTGTCACTTTCTGAACTCACAAAGGGCGCAGTGACACTGTCAGATTAAGTCGTATTAGGGTTTGGCGTGGAAGAGTCTTCCCCCATAGAAACACTGAGTGCTGAAGATGATTGGAGGAAGTTATAGAACATTCTAGAAAAAAACACCTGAAACGTGCAGAACACAGCGGTCCCACGTCCTTGAAGTTCGTCTTGCCGCGTGCTGAACAGGGGCAAACACACAGACACATTAGCCACTAGGGCCTGAAAGAGAATCGTGTCATTCAGCACCGCTGCAGGGCAACCCAATCCACGGCCCATCGGACCACGGGGACACGTGCCCGGCAACCGGTAACATGGCTCAGCACCATCTTGCCCATCTGGTCGGCGGATACCGACTCGGTATCCGGCCGCACGGCCAGGGCTCCATGGGACAGGAAGGGACAGGAATGAGTCCCAGCAAGTCAGCAGGGCTTTTAAAAATGCATTTACGGCCGTCCCAGGCAGCAGCGAAAGAAATGCTTTTAAAAATTCAGGAGATAAACGATGATCATCTATCATGCATTCAGCATGAATGATTATTGCGCAGACTTATGGGTTTCAAGGGCTGATCCGTCTCACGCCTCGCACTGCGCCCTCTGTATCACACAGGGGTAACGTTACCCTGCGCGGACTGAGTGAGCGCTTTTCCTTTGTGCTGCCCCCAGGGGGCGCCAAAGTCAAGAGCAGCGGGGTGACTGCTAGTACCTTTTTTTGGTTTTGTAAGACAGGTGTATCTATCTCTTATAAAGCGTAGGAAACACAACTCGCATCTTTATAGACAATTGTAATTGGCTATGCTTCGGATTCTGATAAAATCTAAGCCTCGGGGTCACATTATCACAGAGATGTGACTGCAGACCCAACATCCATTCGGGAGACAATCTGTCAGCATCTTTAGCAAACTCATGAAAGATCAAACGCCACCACAGGGCTGACAGATAGAGGGGGCTATTCAGATGCCAGTTCACTTAAAGCACACATTATTACTGGGCAGAGATCAGATCCAACAACGTGCAGGTATGAATCACAGCTCAGTTTGCGCCTGGATGCACAGACAGCCCAGAGGCAACATTAGCTGCCGTGTGTTTTGCTAATTTCAACTGGATTATGACGCTGACTGTCAGTATGTCTGTATTGCAGGGGAAAGTGAAACAAATACATTCATTAGGGAAACAGACACATAGACAGGAAGATATAAACAAAACTGAAAGGAGAAAAGGAGAGTCGCTAACCACTTTGTCCTCCTGTTAGGTCCCCGGTGGCATGGAGGCAGTGGAAGAAGGGGGAGGGGGGGCAGAGAGGGAGCAGCGTGAATGAAATCAGCACGTTTGGACACGTCATTCTGTGACACAGCAGAGAGCGAGCGGCGGAGAAGCTGGGTTCAGCAGAAATCAGTCACATGACGATCGCAGTATTGAGAAGGGAATAAAGAGGAGAGAGAGGGCCTGCAACAGTGCAGCAGAAAGGCATTCTGGGTATGTATGCATTCTGTGAGACTGGCTCCCCCATGTGGCCACTCACAGATAGTACTAAGTAAACATTTGTTTTATTTATAATGTAAATCTAAATAATGTATATCAATCAAATGGTGACACAGAGGGGAAATATTCTCTCTTCTTTATCCTGAAATGTACACCGTATAAGTAAAACAGTTCAAACATCAAGGGATCTTTTTTTGGATTATGCTAAGGGACAGGAAGCCGCATCTTATCAGGCATGAACCCAGACAAAATAACAAGGCCGAACATGTGTGCAGGTCGGGAATCAAAATGAAAATGTCCACAGAGCAGAATTGGCCGAGCGACTCATTCTAGAAAGCTCAGTCGAGTCAGCCCTGGCCAATCTCCCAGCCAATCATTACTATTTATAGGCCAATTGTATATTTAAAGAATATTATTTAAAGAGGACTTTTGCAGTGGAAAATAGGTGTTTCAACCTGGGTTAAAAAGGTTGTTGATAATTAAATCTAATTTATTGTCTGTGTAATTTTATTGTGAGTAGAGACACGGTGATATAATTAACCCTTGAGATTTTATGACAATGTCAAGTTCGAGTTTTTAGGTCCATTTTGTAAAAACTCCGACAATAAAGCCTACTTTTTAAACCATCTCTATTGGTTTAAATTTCTATGTTGAATGTTCAGTCAAAGCCAAAGAACAGGAAACATGCGAAGCACTTCCAATCAGAAACAGCTTTGTCTGTGATGTCACTTCCGGGTGGGCGGATGTTATTACCATATGCACTCATCTGCACCGACACATTAAGTTTCCAGTACAGTAAATCACAACGAGATATTTAAAGATGTTGTTTTCTTGAACTAAATCACTCGGAATGTCTACTGGCAGCTTTTTACCAATCTGGAGATTGAAGATGGACTTAAGAGAGAGGCCATTTATCATGGGTTCAAGCTGAGAAGGAAAATGAGGCAGGTGGAAGGTGAGCATGGTGAGGTCCAGCTCTGAGGCGGAGTGGAGTCAGAGAATGCAAGGGGGCGGAGCAGCCGGGAGGGGGTGGAGTCAGGGGAGCAGGTGGGAGGGGCATGGAGTGGGATGGCGCAGGGGGGCGGGGTGAGGTGGAGCTATGTTCAGCACTGTAGGATGGGGTGGAGCGGCCTCCCTACCTTGTTCGAACGCAGAGCCACTCGACCCCCACATCGTGCACAGAACTTAGTTTGGCAATAAGAACAGATGTGGCCACATCCATCGGCGAACTTGGTTTTGTGGCAGATGCCGCAGGTGGGCGTGTCGGCGTTCTGCTCCGGCTTCAGCTGGGCCTCCTCCCCCAGCTTCTTCACCTGGTCCTTGTACATCTCAAACTGCTGGTGCAGCTTCCTGCAGGGGGCACCGGGGAGCATTGTAAGGGGAAGACGCCCACACGCGAACACAGGCACACGCATACATACACACACACACACACACACACAATTGTTACAGTGACATCCTCTTGAGTCTCATTTGAATGCCACTAGTGCTTCAAAACCTCATTCCGGCAAAACTCAAAACCTGACAAAAAGTGAAATTAAAAGCTTTTTAAGCCATTACTGGTGTAAAAGAGTGTTTGATTTGATAGAGCATCCAGACAGTGTCTGTTTCTCATGATTTGCTTTTCAAAATCCACCCTCGCAATGGGAGAAAAACCTGTAAACAGACAGAAGACAAACAGCTGCCGATATACTGATCTGGAGAGATCTACTCTTGTGCAAAGGGGAATGAGCGCCTGCCCATTCACCTCATTTTTACACACAAGTCATCTCAACCTGCTTATTTACAGCGTCAGACAGAGGAAACACCATAACTAACATACACATAAGTAACACCATAACTCTTTTGTCACACACCCTTTTCCTGGAAGGATAACACAAAAGATTTTCAGTTTTCAGTCTCTGTGCTGCACTGGAGTTTGTAGGTATATATAATTCAACCCCTACCCCACTCCTACACTATGATGTAAAGTGGAGTTGGTGTGAATGGAAAATACATCATGTAAGTCATCGGAAGGGTACAGCTCACTCTGCCTGTGTCCCCCTCTGCCCTCTCACAGCCTGCGGAGGTACCGACCCAGCAGAACCCGCCCTGGCTGGGTGAGAGTGGACAGAACACAGCAAACCTAACAGTTCCTGAGAGACGTCGCTCTCATCTGCAAGACAGCCTCGATGATGACGTCATGCAGGCAAAGATCAAAGGCTTGTGTGGTTCATTTCTGGATGTGGAGGATCTGATGAGTAAATGTGAGTAAGTGGGATGTGCAGAGCAGTTTAGGGACTCCACATCTGACCTGGACATTACTTAGCGTGATGTTATTCGTTTGTAAGGAATCTGGTACCATGTGACAGCAAGACAATCGCACAGTTGAGCTCTTTCAGAAGGAAAATGGCTCGTGCCAAACGCAAAGCACGAAGTGGTAATGACACTGTGAAATCCCATAAACACCTCATCCAAGCATAAAAGTGTGATTGGTGCTGCTAAAAATCGGATGGTGGCATGATAATAACGAGAGAGCGAGTGTGAGGCTTAGGATCATAAAAACTGAAGGTAGTACACTGAGTACTAGGGCTGGGGAGCTAACTAGTTTCGGGGTTCAGACATACAAGTGCTGCCCCCTTGTGGAGGGCGCTGTAAGTGAAAGCTCTCGGGCAACACACCGGATGTGCTTTGACAGTCTTACTTACAGTTCGGGCTCCTTCTCGACTGGGGACTTTTGCTGGGGCTGAAGAACGTTATTTACCAGCTCGGCGATCCCACTAAGGGGGAGCCACCTGTCCAAACAAGCAGACGATAGGTCCTGAGACGCGCCCACACCTCCCCCAGCACTGCCGGGCCAGGTCACATGGCAGGGGGGTAGGGTTAGTCAGGAGGCCAGGAACGACAGCGGAAACGGAGGCAGCGGAGGAGGGGGAAGCAGAAGCTGTGAGGCGAGGGCCGGGGGGGCCAAGGGGCCGGGGGCCAGGGGCTGGGGGCGATTCATGTGTTTGCTGGACTGCTACTAGTTTTTCTTGGCCAATTTCAGTTGGTAAACAAAGGAAAGCAAAGTGTAACCAGCTCACACGTGGATGCTGTAAGAGACCAGGTGTAGCTCTTACAAGCCAATCAGGCAGCAGATGATGCACAGCGATATCGGGGTAAGAGAGACCACCCCCCATACCTGAGGAGGCCACGGGAATGACAGGGCACAAAGCAGCAGACAGGCGTGTCTGAGCCTAGAGCATTCTGGGTAATCTGTTACTTACTGTGCTGACTGTTGCTTTGATTCTTCTTTGTCCCTAGAAAGGGAAGTTTGCACGGTTCAGTGCACACACACATACACATGGTGAAAGGTTGAAGAGCACAATAATGACACGAAACCAGGGAAAAACCAGGAATAACAAGGCATAACCAAGAATATCGTCACAGCACTGTGACGGTTCTGCGTCATGACTGGGCGGGACTCTGACGCCCTTAAATGGAAATCTGCAGGCTTTTCAATCACAAAAAAGAAAAAAATAAGATCACCATGGCAACGGGTGCCGCCAGTTACCACTGGGGGGAAACCTTAGCAATCAGACTGCGGTCACATACACTTGGTACAGGAGCAGCCTGAAGCCACTGTCACTGAAGCCGGAGTGACAGAAACATCCCCTAACCGTCCATTCGGTGTAAGAGAGCAGAAGCCACCTTGGCAGTAGGCAGAGGTGTCAGCTTCAATTCAGACTGTCACGACCAGCGTGTTTCAGGGTTACCGGCCATGAGGAGACACCATCATGGTTTGGGATTCCGTCCCCCTGGTGACCATGCATGACTTCATGTTCGAATCCACCCGGTCACCCCCTCCCCTGCTGCTTTGACCTCACACTGCCTCACTGGACTGAGGTTCTGTCACCTCGTGGAAGTTCCTTCTAGCCCAGTGGTTCTCAACCCTTTTTGCACCGCGACCCAATTTTTACCACACCAGCTCAGTCGCGACCCTATATCGAGTATAGGTCTAAATTAACGCTTTGATCAAGCACACAGTGCACTCTGCAATTAATGCCAATTAATACCTATCACACAAATCTGATTGGATGTGTCAGTGAATTTTAAATTAAGCATCGTAGATCGTAGATTTGGCTTCGTAGATTGGTTGAGTATTCAGTAGTTTTGTGCTAAGCAGTTGCAGACCCAAGAGCGATTTATATAGGTTAATACTAGGATTGGGGCTGGGAAATCTGATCGTGGGTCAGCACAGAAGTTTGCTGGTTTTAAAATGCTTACATTTCCAACTCTGCCGTGCGACCCTTTCAAATCTGTTGGGTCGCGACCCACAGGTTGAGAATCGCTGTTCTAGCCGACTGACTTTCACAACTTAAATCTCTGATCCTAATTCTTAATTTATCTCTGAGAGCAAAGATCAGGGTGTCAGTCAGTTGTGTCCACACAAGGAATGGGGGGTATTAGGAACTGATTGGAGGGGGGGCCTTACAAGCACTATTTTTTTCCAATCCACAGGAGTGGCCCTGATCCCCTTCCAGAACATTCCCATACATGATATGAAATCTCTTTCAGAACAAAGGACAGAGGAGGAAAACACCAGTTCTATGAACCTTGATCCAAGATCTAAGAGCACACATGGATATTGGACTGACAGTTTATATCCACTAGGTGGCAATAAACCAAAAATTCTCTCTTCACATCAATAAAGTGTACCCTCTTCGGCTCTGTGGCAGCCCTATGCGCTTACATTCATCTACTCCGTCATTTCAAACAAGCCAGTTAGATTTAGCAACTGGTAATTTGACTGGAGGATCAAGCCCTATACACCTCATTCTGATGATCCTGTATATCAAACCTGTCACAGCATCCAATAAACACTGCTGGAAAGTGACAGCGGTCAGTGAAGAAGACCCGTGAACCAGCCTGTCTTCAGGAAGGGCATCACGCTAGATGTGAAGACTATGGAGCGATGTCTCTCAGCACGACGCTGAGATGAAGGCCTCTGAATAGAAGGTTCTTAAAAGGCTCAGAGGTTACTGGTGTGGTCACACTGAGCATCACCTCAAACACTAAGAATCGTATTCCCCAAAACGCCGTATTCCCCCGGCATCACCGTCCCCAAACACCTGGAATCTCGTTCCCCAAACACAGGGAATTGTGTCCCCCAAACATCAGGACTCTCGATCTTCGAACACTGGGCATCACGTTCCCCAAACACCAGGAATCGTGTTCCTGAAACGGCAGGAATCTCACTCCTCAAATGTTAGGGATCGACTCGCCCAAACGTGAGGATTTGCAATCCCCAACACCAAGCATCACGTTCCCCAAATGCTGCGAATCGTGTTCCCCCAACACCAAGCATCACGTTCCCCAAATGCTGCGAATTGTGTTCCCCCAACCCCAAGCATCACGTTCCCCAAATACTGCGAATCGTGTTCCCCCAACACCAAGCATCATGTTCCCCAAATGCTGCGAATTGTGACCCCCAACACCAAGCATCACGTTCCCCAAATGCTGCGAATCGTGTTGCCCCAACACCAAGCATTACGTTCCCCAAATGCTGCGAATCGTGTTCCCCCAACACCAAGCATCACATTCCCCAAATGCTGCGAATCGTGTTCCCCCAACACCAAGCATCACGTTCCCCAAATACTGCGAATTGTGACCCCCAACACCAAGCATCACGTTCCCCAAATACTGCGAATTGTGTTCCCCCAACACCAAGCATCACGTTCCCCAAATGCTGCGAATCGTGTTCCCCCAAAGACTGAGCACCATGTTCCCCAAACACTGCTGTACTACCATAACATCAACCTGCTTCAGTACATCAAAGGTATGATCTGATCTGATCGTAAGATTAGCCTAATCTGGCAGCTTAGAGGAACAGCCCCCCCCCCCTGCACACCGCGTTCCGAGGTCAAGGTCAGAGCCAAGCCTGGAGCCCCAGGGGCTGCTGGCTTCGACTCCAGGAGCTGCAACTTCCTGTTAATGCAGGAAGTGACCACATCAGGCCTCATAGCAGTGGGCAGTGTTTATTTTTCAATGTTTGTGGTAACAGATTCACACTCATTCTTATTACCAAACAAATGTCAATTATTATTTAATATACTTATGAAGTGTATTACTCACTAACCAAATATATAACATCTATAACACAATGTGCATCATGCTCTGTTCCTAACATACAGCCTGATGTGCAGTTTAATTAGCCAATTAATAATTAGCCTTTTTCGGGACGCCTTGGTCCTTGCATCCCCTGCAGCTCACAGCCAGGGTTATAATACCTGGATGTGTGTCCAGATCGCACAGGCTGACAGCTGCTTGCTGCTGAAAGCGATCAGCAGCTACTTAACCTGCCCAGGGTGGGGGAGCATAGGCAGTACGCA